CTGTGGTGACCTGGGGTCAGTCAGCTTTTTGGTGGAGACAGTAGCAACGTACAGAAGCAGCATTGTCCCAGCACCATGGAACATGATCAGCAGCTCTTCTTGCCTCCGCCCAGGCTAGGGCTCGGTGGTCCGTCTTGTCCGTTGTTGCTAATGTTACAATGTTGGTTGTTGTTGTGTGTGTTGATGTTTTGGACTGCCACCTTAAGCCTTCGGGCCGTACTGCCTCGGTCAATACCCCACTCCACTCCCCTCCACTCCGTTTTCAACATCATTATTGCGTAAAAAATTGTAGCAAAAAAATACAACAATCTACATGACGACCATGATGCATTTGATTTAGGTTGTTTTTTTGTTGCAGTTTTGTTTGTGTCATTTGAGTTTGTTTGTTGATCGCGCACGGTCGCAATGCACATAAACGGCCAGATGTGAATTCTTAAACATGTTTTGCATGCGTATGGGTCCACTGAACATGTGCAGGGCGTGCCGCTCCTACCTCCCCAATACGCTCTTCTTAATCCGGTTTAGGACATTGGCAGCAGAGTGCCTGATTTCAATGGATTCGCAGACGTTGTGTTAGTCCGGCAATGGGTTTCAAGGGTTCCGTGCTTGGGTTGAAGCAAGCTGCTCAAAGGTGTTGTGATTCAGTCAGCATTAGGCACGCAAGGTAAAAGGTGAGTTTTGAGATTTGGCTGGGGGTGTTGTTGCATAATACAGGGAGCGCAGCTTACCACGGTACCCTTTCCAATGTGTGGATGTGGAAGATTGAGCTAGGTTCCAAATCAAAAAAAACCTGAAGTAAGCTGTGCGCCCGACCCTGGCAAAAACTAGCATTCCCAGACCACTTTCTTTGGATGATTGTTTGGCATGCTGGAGCCTGCAGGCTCCTCAACGCTGCAGTTCACGTATTGGCCCCCAGACGTAACAGCCCCGAATTTATGAATTTGCAGTCCGAGATCACCAATGCGGCCAGCTTTCCAGTTGTGAGGCACTTATTTAGTGCAGTTTAAGTACAAACTGGACGGTTTCGTGAATTTTTCAAATTTATTTAAGCTCAAACCCGGTTAGGCCTATGTATGTATTTTTCCGTGAAATTGGGGATTTTAGTTGGAGAAGAGTTGGTATGGGAGGTAAGTGTTGTGTCATGCGTTTTTGTTATTGTGTTGGTGAGTTTACATGAAAGGCAAATATTCAAATGCAGTTTGTTGCCGAAGCTGGCACACAAAGATTCCAATGTCGTCAGTTGGCTCATTACATCAATTTCTTCAATTTTTTCAACCGGACCGTACTGCAAATTTGCGTGCAAAGAAGATGCGTTGCGTGTTTTGAAGCAGGGAGCGGGTCGACGGGGCAGGAGCACATTGTCGACGCCCAACTTGCATGATGTTCTCGATAAAATATACCAGCCAATTCTTGGAATCAACATGATTTTTCATTAAATGCCATGTCAGTCAAATACGGTAGTTTCTTTTTAGTTGTCCGAAAGGCAGGCTCGCATGAGGCATTTGAACAGTCGCCTGGTTGCAGGAATTGTTCCGTTGTGGTTTGCAGGAAGGTTTGTAACCGCATTTATTTTTTTCCATAGCATAACCCAGACGAGACGCAGAATTCAGCACGCGTTGACAGTAGTGGCATACTGAGCGTGTGCATGCCATTTCCTGGAGCCGTGTGCATGTTTGAAGTGCGATTGCTGTGGCCCATTTCCAGTATCAGAACTCCCTGCATGCCATGATGTTGGCATCCAGCAGGCCCAGCAAAAGCTGCGCCCCTGTGTAACCAAATTAAACGTAGCCGGTGCTGGGCTGAGTAACATCCACATGAGCACCTCCAAATGTACAAGCTTTTCCGTTTTTGATTCAACATCGAGCATTTGACTCAACATACACTGGCAACTTCAGGTTAATAACAAGACACATACCAGCCCAGCACCGCATCATGGGAAATTACGGTGCAAGCTCCCACTGCTGCTCCGGAGACCCTGCAGGCCTATCTTTCATTTGTTGCATTTCAGTTCTATCCGTGCGATTAAACAATGTTTGAAGCAGGCTTGGGACTTGACCTTGAGCTGCGGACTTGAAACTGGTGAGATGCTGGTGCCTGTGCCAGGTAAGGAGCCGGAAGATGACGGCCGGGGGGAAGTCAAGCCGGTAGAAGATCCGCCCTTGCTCCCAGCAAGTCCTAAAACTCCGAAGGCCAGGCAGCTACATATGAGTTTGACGCACTGCAAGAAGACCTAGTTATGGATCAACAGTCTTTCTGAACGTGATTGATTGCTATCATGTCTGCATATGGATAGTCTAGGTTGTCACACAGTCGCCTGATTATGAAGATTGTGTTATGGAGTTGATGAAGTTTAGCACGAAGTTGGCTTGGTGCCAGCGGTTGATGTGCTGTCCAGGATTCTGAACCTTCGAATGATTCAAAAGAAGCCAATGTGGAACGGAAGAAACTCAGAGTCGCTTGGTGTGGTTGGTTGCGCAGGGTTTCGTTTCAGGCCTTCTTGACGAAGCTGCTTTCTTAGCATGTATGCCGGATGCAGTGTCCAACAATCAACAGACAATGCAGCATCTACAAGTTTTTCACAGCTGTCCGACATGAGTTTGCCACAGGAAAAGCTGAGAAGCAGGATTTGGCAACTGACCTGTGTGCCTAAGGCGAGAACCTGGGTGCAAGACGTTCCCAGCAAAGTGCAGACCCTTACAGTGAAGTTAAACAAACTTCCTGGAAAGGCGGGTTCGTGCGTCGGCATGTTGACATTTCAGCAAGACGAGATTGCCAGCACCAGTGCAGCACATTAAATTTGTTGCCGCAGCACATTTGGATTCATTCGTCTGGCAGGAAAAATCATCAAAGCTCGGGCTTGACATAGATTATGCAGAGGCGCCTGTTACTTTGCCATGCGCGGCTAGACTTTCTGCGTGCTACTGTTGTTTGCATCCTCTTGCAGGAAGCAACTGCAATTCCCATCGTGGAAGTGAATGGCGGGCTTGCCGGACAATGGAATGAAGAAAATCCGATGAGGCTAATAAGGACTGCTGAAGCCCATGAGCGTGGTAGTATTGCATGGGCTTCCTCGTGTAGGCGCGTATCAGTTTGCATGCAGGGCATATCGGATCTGATTCTTTGCGTGTTTGTCTCGCTCAGAGCAGGAGCGGCGATTGCATCGTAGTCTGGGTCACAGTACTGCTTGATTGCAGGACATTTGCAAGAAAGCTAATCTGCTTCGTCTAGCTTTTTCTGCCGCATTTTGCACACTTGGCGACGGCTTGATGTCGATGTTGTTATCTTTGTGCTGAGGCTGTAAATGGTATCTCCAAAGATGTGCCAACTATGCTCAAGACTTGCATGACCTCCAATTCGCTCGAGCTTTTGGTTGTCAAAGGCGGGGATCAAATTTGTGAACGAAGACTGCTTGGTGGAGCTTGACTAACACAATGGTATTTTAGCTGCGAGGCACCACGGACGAGCCCCACACTTAGTTTCATTGTCAGCATGAAGGCGGAGGCTAGCATTTGCCTTCAGTAAGCTGTGTGCAACAAGAAGATTCGTCAATGAGCATGCAGCGAAGGCTCTCAGAGGTGGCGCGCTTCCGTCCATCTTTTCAAGGTAAACTGCAACAATCCGGATTAGATGTCACCCCAATCTTGTTTTTCCAAGAACCTCGCTTCTTTGGGCTCATGTTTTCTGAGCCTTCACAAGAGAACATGAGTGAGAGGTTCTTGGTTCTTTCTCTCGAAGCGGGCAGCGCGTTGCCTCTTCAGGTCCGGCATGGAGCCGGTAGCTTCCGGATTGTTGGCTGCCGAAGGGTACTACCAACAGGCCTGATTCTGCGATGATTCGCTGTGGCAGCAAAGATTGTTCCTGCTAGACTAGACTTGTCTTGAAGTACTGGGCTGGACATTGATTTCAATATGCGGTCAGCACGGGTGTCGGTGCGGTTGGTGAGCAGTTCCGAGTTATTGAGAAGATTGACTCTATCAGTTGTTTGCAGTATGGCCAGGTAGAAGCCAAGCAAATGGCGGCAGCGCATGCGAGCGCAAATCCCATGGATGACTCCACGAGACAGGCACAAGGGAAGCCATGGGCATCAGTCTAGAGTCTAGATGTTGTCACAGCCTTGAACACTTCCATAAGTCTGGAGGTCGAAGTTGTAGTGGGGCCGCCGCAACTAGTACCAATTGCAATGCAGCAAAACTGTAGCCCCAGCAACATTTCAAGAAAGTTGTGCAGACTTGGGCCTTCATGCAACAATATAGACAGGCGCTGACAACTTACACAGCTTGAAGAATTTCGGTTACGGAAAGCAACGCTTGAGCTGCTAGTGGAGCAGGGTAAGTGGACTGGCAATGTCGCAACAATATCCCTGTGGTCAGCCTGGTGAGCCCAAATATCATGCTCTTGTTCATCATGCAGTTCTGTACTGAAGGACAGCACTTGTGCCTTCGGCATCCTTTTGCCTAATGATTTTGCGCTGACCGGGTCGGAGCTACTCCATCATCCTGGAAAAGTGAACAGGTACCGCTAGTGTTTCACTGGGGAACATGTAGGCCATGGCTAGTCTACGATTCTTCCAGGCTGCCGGCAGCCAGGCTCAGGCAGAGCAAGTTGCGGGCTGGCTGAGACATGCTGAGACTATTCGCACGTCACATGTTCATGAAGTGGTTAGACTGACATCGCACCATGTTGAGATTTAAGTATAGCTCACCCTTCTGCAAGTCCTGCATGTGCGTCATGACAATTCAGTTTCAAGCCATGCTTTGCTATCTTTGCTGTGCTGAGGCTCCAGAGGACCTGGCAAGGACTCTGGCGCGGAAACGGACTTTGAACTGGTTTGTGCGTGGCTGACCCGTGCAGGGAAAGGGCCAGCTTTTGAACTTGGCAGATGGCATCAGGTTAGGCCTAGGGGACAAGTGTTCAATCGATGCAATCTTGTCTTTGCTCACACTGATTGTTTATACTGTCTGAAAACGGTGCTCGTGATGCCTCTGTGTTGGCTTTGAGTTCGATGAATCGACAATCGACTCAACTCGGCCAGTAAATTCCAGCTGCGCTGTTCACGTACGTGCACCAGGAAGAACATCCCAGGCTGCTAGCAGTCCCAGCCAGCTGACCGTTCACTACATGGTAGACAATCAAATTCTGACTTTTTCGCGCCGTGGACCTGTTCTCCCCACCAGTGTCTCACTCAACATATCGAAGTCTCACAGGGGCAGTTGTCAAAATCCAGCTCCAACTGAAACTGTCAAACAGGGCCAGTCGTTTTCACAGCTGCTCAAATCGCCATTGCATCAAAGGTATTTTGAGAATTGGAGACAGGCCTGCCAGTCAAAGCTCGTAAAGCTATGGCTTGTGGATCGGTCTCCAACAGGCCTGGTTCTTCAACCCGTTTTCTTAATGCCATATCCCAAAGAGGTGTTGGCTGGGAGCGGCACATCCCCAAATGTCCCCGCGCATTACGGGGAACGGTCTTTGGTGGCACTCCAGCTTAGCTTATCCTGACAAGGATGATTTACAGGAACATTTGTCAAGGTGCCCGCATTCTGAAGTGTTATGTCTAGATTGAGCATGGTTTGTTGTGTCTTCACACGATCGTGTATTCAAAAAGCAGTACTGGTTCACAGTGGTGCTACTTGGATGACGTGCTGCAGTCCCAGCTGCAAGTTGTCTCTGTCGTTGTCGATTTGTGAGTCCTGCTCTTTCACTTTCTGTCTGTCTGCTGCAATCGTCAGGATTTCTTTTTTTCATTCCATGTTTCACAACAAGTTTGGTGACACAACACATTGGACAGAGGCTGCCGCAAGGCACGACGGGGAAAAGAATACGAGATGCCAGCTGCACTGTACAAGACGGGATTGTAGCCAGGATGAGCCAGGGTAGGGCGGTCAGACAAAAGAAGCCGAGCTCAAGCCCCAAACGCTTAGTCTTGCCTCACTATGTCACTAGGTCTTGCGGTGAGGTTGATGCAACTGGCCAAACTACATATAGTTGTCTTGTGAAACATGTTTGGACGCCAACATTGTATATCAAGCCGCAAGTAGAGGCAAAGCCTACGCAGGCACGTGCCTCCCGTGTCATCAGCCATGCGTGGCCTCACAGAGTGTGGTGATCCGAGCTTGACGGAGGACCTTGTCAAGGAATTGTTCCAAAGCTCCCGAAAATCCTGGGAGAGTTCATTAATAGAACTTGGCCAAAGCTGCCGAGAGGCCTGCATGCTGGTAGTTTGTTGCTGCACGCTGCTGGTGGCTTCGAGGGCAAGACTCAAACCGGCCGAGCTTGTTCTGACGGCCAAAGCCAATGTAGGGCGTAGATCTATCCCAGGCAGGCTAGCAGGAAGGGAAACCTCTTGAACACTACTTTATCATGCAAGAGGGTGCAGAAGACACAAGAAGCAGCGGTCTCCCGCAGGCAGTCCTCGCTTCGGAAAGAGTCCAAGGAAGCCCAAACGTGAGCAGGCCTGTGGATGCAGAGGCGGGGCATGCTGGAGATTGCTGGAGCTGTGTCCCTTTTGCAAAGTCTTCTGTGGCGTGTTGTGCCAGATGTGCGGATGGCCTGCGATTCATGACAGTGAGCTGGGCTCCCAGCTCAAAAAGCAGCAGCAGGGGCTCATGCACATGAATTGCTGGGTATGTCAGCTAGGCATGAACTGGCACTGGCGTCTATACCTCGGCCTTCATCTTGCCAAAGTATCCCTAACTTGAGTTTGTCAAAGCCTGTGAGTCAGACGCTTGGAGGATTCAAGCCCTCCAGCACACCATTTCGAGTTCTCGCCTCAGCTCTGGCACTCCACATAGCTTGAATGGCAGTTACCTGAAACAAGCTGCATCACAGCAGCTGGACAATCTCAGAGGAATCCTTTGCCTAGGTTCCAGCATGCCCAGCGACATCTTCGAGAAGCACGTGCATGCCTTTTGCTCCTGTACAGTGAGATCTTTGCTAGTTGAAAGTTTGAAGGTACTGGCAGGAAAGCTGCACACCCTTTCTTTGACTGCAGGCTTCCTCTTTGCTAGCATCCTCGGTGGAACAGGCAGAATTTCGGCAGAATCTTCATGTTTCCTGTGAGTAAGAGTTTGTAGACAGACACCCGATGACACCCGCCGACGTCATTTGTCTGGTTAAGATCGAAAGTAGGAACCAACTTGGGCGAATGTATCGCCACTTTCTTGTACGGAGTGGGCAAGGCAGAATGACATGTGCAAATTCTTCCGTGAGCAGGTGGAGAAGAGAACTGCAGACCCCTCTGCTCCTGGCTCAGGGAACTCGCGATGTAGTGAAACGTAGTTTGCATGCAAGATTAACTCGCAACGCGATATATTAGAGTATCCACAAGCTAGTCAAGCGCGGTGTCAGAGTACGTATCTCAAAGTCTTCCAACCTTGCTTGTTCTCAGGACGGGCTACAGTTTCATGAACGCTTTTTGGCGTCCTTCCAAGCGGAGGCCTTCTGCCCAGTACGTGCTTTGAAGACACTTTCAGCTGTCTTCTGCAGAGCGAGACAATTATTGCGCAGATGTGCCCAGCAAAGCCAAAAAGTTTCCAACGACCCAACATCAACTCAGCAAGCAGAAGTGCAGGAATGAAATGCCTGGAGCTTTTGAGGATCTGTTTTATTATGTCGTGCCTGTCGGCAAGCGTTCAGGGATGAAAAGCCTGCAAAACAATCTTGTAATCTTCATGAAGCCGACACACGCGCTAGACCTGGAAACCCACGCAAATCCAATAAAAACCTGAGAGAATATTGGCAGAACACCTGCACAAAAAACGTCATAACTACTCACTAACCAGCAGTTCTTTCTAATATTTCCATGGAAAAAACGTTGCAAACCCAGCATAGAGATCGCGAAGCTCATGATAGCCTCCGTGGTTGCAGCATCCAACCCTCATGGACCCCATCGGGCCTGGTCCAGCGGGAGAGGGCCTCGGGGCTACTTCCGAAAGTTTTCCCAAGCTTTCGTCTGGAACCCAGCTTTGCTGATCTGCATTCAGGGGGTCTGGGGGGGGGGAATCTTCAAACATGGTGAAATTTGGCCGTGTTTTGCGGGCCGGAGGGTTTGCGGTCGGTGTCCTGATGAGCCTCGAAAATAGGCATGACGGGGTCTGATGTGATGCGGTTTCGCGGTGCCGTTTCGGGGGCCGTGGAGGCTATTTGGGACGCCAGATGGCACTGTTTAAAAATCTAGGCACGTTGGAAGCCGTTCTCGGGCACGCGGATTCCTTCGCGCTCCGCTGCTTCATGGAAAAAATGCACGCGCCTGTTTGCAACCTGCTTCTAAGCTTTTGCCCGTGGGCGCAAGTTTTCGAAATGATCCGTGCTCCTGATTTGGAGGGTCCCGGAACCCCAAAAATCCTCAGCAGATCCCTCCGTGGGGATCTGCATCAAAAGCGCATTTGAATTTGAGAGTGGTGTTGGAGTGGGTTCCGGGAGGGCCCTTTGGAGAAACGGAGGTCCGATGATGTAGGGTCGGCGGCGATGGCGATAGGATGTTCTGAAAAGCCCCCAGCCTTCCAACTCCAACCCCTGTACTGCTAAAGCTCTAGACACAGGCTTCGCCCTGGACGGATTTAAGGGCTCCGCAACTGCCGCGGACCCGCAATAAAATCCCAAACCCGGTGTCACGTTGCTGGGCAGGCTGGAAGCTACTGTATACAGGATTTGTACAAGAATTGAAGCCGAAACCAATGATGGAATGTAAGTAAAATGGAGACCCGCGTAAGATGACTGCACCGCTTTGCTTCCCTGCCCATGTGTGATGAACGGGACTTTCTGTGGGGTCCCAAAAGAGGGATCAACAAGTGCTGCCCTAGAGTCCAGGATGCCTTTGTGTTGGAGCATGCCACAGGGGCGTCTGAGCTTGCTTGGTTTGAGCACTGTTGACAAGCCAGTCTGTTGGCGGGCATGCTCCAAATTCCCTCTCCCACATGTGCTGCCAGCAGGCCTCCTAGAAACCTACCTAGAGGGCAAGGTGCGCTGAATTTCGGGGCCAAGGTGTGCGATGCAGAATTGCGCGTTGCCGCTGTGGCATGCTTTGGGCGTGTATGCTAGGTCTGGGCCGGAAAAATACTAGAATTTGGGGGGGGCGGGGGCCGAATTCCCACAAAGTCGAACCCACCGGTCATGGGGCTGAGGGGCCTGGGCTGCGGGCTCGGTCGGTGTCCTCGGGTGGACAGGGCCTCGCCCCGAGCGGGGTCGGCGGATTTTGAAAAGCTCTGATGCTGCAGCTGCTGCTTCTTCTGCTGCTGCATCTGCATGTTATTTGCTTCGTGCATCAGCATGTGGAAGGCCTCCTGTCGGTTTCATTTTTCATCACGAACGCTTTCTCACACCCGAACAGCTGGCTTCGTGGACTCGCCACTCAGGGCGACACTTATCATGAGTCCGCTCTATCTGGACTGGAAGGCCACGCGAAAATGCCGTGGCCCAAGCCACCCTGGAGTGTGAATTGTTATCTTGTCGTGGTTCCGCTCCTTGCAAGTTGGAGGTTGGGAAGTATCCTTGCTTCGGAGCTTCCCCAGCAGCTGAAGCGTGCTTGTAGCAAGCAGCCCCGTTCTAAGCCGGAGAAAAAGGTTGGAGTTCACCAGCGGCCAGTGGAGTACCCAGGCTCCGTGCACCTATCCAGCACAACTGCGAGACTTTGTCTGAGGCCATTTGGGGGGGTTCATTTGAACACTGACGCGGAGAGAGACAGAGGGTCGGATTTTGAAAGATCGCGGTTTTGCGTGCAGCCAGCGTCCGCTGTCTTCTTCTCATAACCTGTAATCTTGGGCAGAGCGTGGACTGAGGACCGGGGCACATTAGGGCCGCGCACTTCGGGGCTTGAGACACGGGGGTACATGGACACGGGAGCATGCAAGGCAGGAGCAGCGGTCATCAGCTAATTCTTCTCTGGCTTCAAATCATCTGCCAGAAGAAGGGGAAGAAACCGTTTCCCCTGGAGGTGCTTAGGGGGGCCATACTCGTGCTGGCCAGGCTGTCGTACAAGCTCTCTTGGAGGCAGCCAATGCTTTGGCGAGCAGCCGTGCCACGGAGGACCCTGAAGCCAAGCATCATCAAGTGGTAGCTGTTAACGGCTGTCAGCGTTCAGGCTTCGCAGCGCCTCCGGACGCCTCCTGCGCTGGATGCAGGCCAACTAGCCAAGGCGTCCGACTGTGAGGTCATGTATTGTCGCAATGTTTTCTTCGCACAATGCAAATGAGGCGGTGCAGCAGGCAGTGCAGCCGCCAGAGAGCCTGAAGGCGTAGCCATCCATAAGAAGTTACAACATGCAAAGAATATCCTGCTGCTGACATGAAGCAGGCAGAGACGTCAGGCATGCCAAACCTGACGGACTCAGTTGGGAGGTCCGTGCCAGCTGCCTGTGCAAATGCTAGATCGGTAGGCAATGAAAAGCTGCTCAGGTTGCGTGGGCGCCTGTCGCAGTTGGAAGCCTCGCAGCCCCGACAGTGCTTACATTTGGAGATTGGTCAGGAAGAGCATGTTGTACGAAGGTATACAAAGGTCATGTGTGAACACGTCGCGTGGCCAGGCTTCAGGAGCTTGAAGAGGAGGCCGGAAGTGTTTGAGAAGAAGTACGTCTTTTGCTGCCGGTGTCTTCTCGCCATGTACGCTTCTTCACTCATGTGGAACTGCTCAGGGAGACTGACTGCAAGCATTCAGAACTTATGCGGTAAATTAGTTAGTGGAGTACCTTGAAATGTCTTGGAAAAGGAGTTCTAACTTGAGCTTTGCTTACCCAACGTGTTGCTGTAATTGCTGTAATCTATCTAACATCTCGAAAAGTGCGACCTTCCGGCCATTGCAAGATATCATGCCGCAGAGTTGCCAAGCTTCAGTCTGGGTTCCCTGTCCAGACGTCAAGATGTCTCGTGGCAATTCATGTCCTTGTGGCTGTGCGGCAGGTGCATGAAACAAAAAGAGCTCTGCGAGTCCCTGCCCCTGTCAGAAGCTGAGCTTACTGTTGGAAGCCTTGCTTGTCATCACTGATTTCGGTTTAGCACATTGGCTTGTACAAAATGCTTGGGGATGAGGATTACAGAAGGACAGGACGAGGCACAGACACTGTTCATCCAATATCCGCCCTAACTCTGAGAGCGATCCCCTACACATGCTTCCCTTTCTCACTTTTTAGCGCAGCCACACAAAGAGGGGAAGCGCGAGGGACCTCCAAAATGTCATTCCTTTATTTGCAGCCACCATGGGCTCAACACATGGGATTGTGGATTTTGCAGATCATCTAAACGGCTTAAAGAAGCGTGACAGAAAAAGATGAAGGACTTAAACTAAAGGAGGTGGACGCTAGAGTATAGGAGTAAACAGCAAGCCAAAGGTACGAGTTTGACAGATTGGTGACACTGTCAGCTTCCTGGAACCCTGTCTTTCAGCCTTGTCTCAGGCTGTTGCGCAGCTGCAAGGACAGTTTCCTGCTACGTTGCAGTAGGCGGCGTTGAAAAAGCAAAGCGACTCCAAAGCCGTTTTTTGTTGTGGAGCTTTTTTACCGTGCTTGGCAACAGACGTGGCTTTGCCGCCTCCTCACAGCCTGGTTTGAGAGCCTCTCACGAGAGATGGGCCACCGATGGGAAGATGGGTGAGCTGCTGCTGCTGCTGCAGTCGAGGTGGCATCACCTTGCTGATGTAGCTAGGCACATATCTTTGTTGTGACCGCAGGTTGTAACTTTCTGCTGTTGGCGTTCGTCTCTGGGACAGTGGTTCTCATCCAGGCACTTCCGTGCTACTTCAACATCTAGATACTAGAGACACATTCACTTTGAGAGTCGAGCTGTGTTCCGCTGCTCTGCGCCCCTCTGCACTTACACACTGACACACCTTCTTGGATCTGCACGAGGCTCAGGATTACAAAAAGTCTGAGCAGCATTGTTTTGTTGCTTGCTGTATTTGAGATTTGAGGGGATTCCGGCGCAGTATATGTCAATCGCGGCTTTTGACTTTTCTTTCCAAATAAGTCGCATCGCCTGCAGTTGACGCACTATTTCGACGCATACCGCATACCCTCAACATGTGAATGAACAAGCACCTAGAAACAGGTGTTCCGCAGATTTGTTTGGGTCTCAGAGAGGGTATAGGTGCAAAAGCTTCAAACGGGTGATAACGAGGCACGTTAGGATGTGCGCTGATCTCTGCCACGGAAGGGGACTTATCAGGTGGTGAGCTGGATTCCAAACTCAGAGTCGCTTGCTGGAGTGAGCAGAAGAACGTGGTAAACTAATGCGAATTATGTGTTCTAAGCTGAAAGCAACACAACTTTGAGGTTTTCCCATTGATCGGTTCCAGTAGAAGGTACTCATGGCTCATCTAACACCTAGGCCGCGGTTAATGACAGGTTTAGGGATATACGCATACGATGATAGCCATCATCATTGCTTCAGTTCCTGCGTGCATGAGAGACAGGGGCCACAGACAATGTGTGAACATTTTAGACGATTTTGCCATATTTTGCAGCGAAGGAGGCAAAGCACCGCACTGCAGCTCCGGGACCACAGATTCTGAGTAAGAACTTTGATTCCTTGATGCCGGAATTGGTGAGCCTGAAACGGATAGCTGTGAGGGAAGGCCTTCGTTTGACTTTTGTAAGCTTCTGGGTCAGGGTCCAAGGTTTAGCTTCATTTTCGGGAGCCCAACCAAAGCTTCTGACAGATAGCAGGAAACACTGTCAATCATAGTGTAAGCCTGACTTGACGGCAGGTCCACTTCCTTCATCTAGCTTCTATTGCTCTGACTTTTCCTGGTCGGTGGAAAAAGCATCCAATCAAAACAAGTGCCCATCATGCGATAGATCATTTCTGGCGGAATGGACTGTGCCATGCTGAGCATGTGACTGCTGGAGGCCTTCTCCCTTCGCTTACAACCTGCGACTGTGCAACATGTGCTCCAGCCACGCGGGCCGGATTCAACCACATCCAGCATCCTGCTCGTGAGCGACAGAAGCAATACAACGAGCGCCCCAAGGCAAAGTCGAGCTTGTCCAGGAGAGATTTCTTCTTACATCCAGAAGGGATCAAGCCTGCCCGTGCTCTTGCTTGCCCATCGCCGAGCCGAGAAGCTCCAGGAAACCCTCCGGAGCCTGTCTGGAGTGCGTGGCTTCTCTGCTGATGAAGTGCTCGTCTCCCAAGATGGCACTGATGTAGAGGCCTGGCGCGCTTTGCATCTCCAACAGGAATTTTGCATGTTTCAGTCTGAGGTGACTAGAATAGTGGACGCGATGAACATCTCCAGGATCACTCATGATGCTGCTTTGCAGCTGAACACCGGCTGGAGGTCAGCAGCACTGAGGCACCTCGGCGCTCCACTCCCTCCATTTTTTCTGGAATGTTGCAGCTTGAGCACCCCGTGCTTTGATATGACACATGTTTTCAAAGGATTTCACGACACTACCGCTGGAGCATTGATGCTGCCTTCAATCACTTCAACAGGACACCAGGCCACTTCGTCCTGCAGAGAGTGCTCACAATTTGTGGTTTGTTGCACATGATGTGCTCATAGCCAATCTGCCGAGGAATCATCATTGTGGAGGACGACCTGCGGTTTTCGCCTGATTTTTTGGAGTACTTCCAGGCGTTTTGCAGCGAACCGCTGTGCGTCAGATTTCACAGCGTCTGAGAAGGCTGCTGCCCCCGTCTTGGACTGCGACGAGAGCCTCTGGATTATTTCTGCTTGGAATGACAACGGATTCGTTCCTCGATTCAAGTGGACTGTTGGCTAAGTCAGGAAATCCCTTGCTGAATTGTGCACTGGCCAGAGCAGAATCAGCAAAGAGCGAGGAATGAGAAACCCCACAGCGGCTGAGTTAGGAATAGCGTCGTTGACCACGAGGCATCCAACATGATGACCTTTTGCACACGGATGACTGTCAAGTTATGCTGTTCCCCACGATATGTTGAGTTTTTTCATGTGCACGTGCAGAAAAGATATTTGATCCAACAAGGCAACGTAAGTCAATGCTCTTCGAAATCATACAGCACCAACTGCTGATTGTTGCCGCTAACCCGTGACAGATTCTCGACTCGCACACCTGCGTCCTGACAGGCATTCCACACGCAGCCCTAGATTTTCACAGAATGACTCGCTGGCCTTTTTTTCTGCGACATGTGGTGACCTGTAAGGATCATGTTGTCGGAGAGACGAAGCGCTTGTTGCGGACGCAGTTCATGCCTGGCTTGGGCAGCGTGGATTGAATGGTTCAGGAATTGAGAGCGAAGTATTTGTACACGTTGCTTGGGCGGGTCCAGAGATTGGCTGAGGTTGGCTGATGCTCCGCCACCTTTGGAAGGAGTTGAAGCCCTCATGGCCCCACGTGGAGGAGAGGCGCCACTTGACCTTGACATAATGGAAACTACCATAGTATATTGGGGTTATATATAAGGATGATATAAACTACTAAAGTATATTCTGGCTACATATAGGGAGAATGGACAAGAAAATGGAGACTACTACATTAGAAGAGGGTATATATTGGGGTTATATTATGTAGAGGTCATATTAGGCCCACTATATTGTGATAGTATATTACGGTATGTTAGTGTCTATATTGGACTTCCCTTGTTGGCATCATGTTTCGGGAAGCTGTCGTCCGAGGCAGAGAGGCGAAGACCTGCAACTGGGATCACTGGCTGCGAAGTCCACAGCAGCACCAAGGTGCCTTGGACCTTTACGTAACACTACAACCACTTAAGACTTAGTGTTCATTGATTCTTGAGGATTCTTGAAGAAAGCTGCTAGAACTTCAGCCATGTTGTGCGAGGCCGATCTGTCCTCTTCCCCCAAGTGCCGCGCGTGTTTCACCATGGGAGCGTTGGCACCTTCATGGACCTTAACACGCATAGGCAACTCGGCGACAGACTCAACTGAATTCCGGCAGCACTGACGTTTCGCTTACACTCCAACCCTCAGTCCCGCTCGTTGCGGGCGCAATGCCGCGGGTGCTCTCTTTCTCTCTTTCGTGGTCACTCTCCCCCTGCCTGCCCCCTGACAATGCGCATAGGGACTCTGGCCGTACCTTGCGATGTCTGTCAGCGCAGGCAATACTTCCAGCACATATTTCAAAACCAGGACGAGTGTTGCCCCGGATCCTGGTCACTTTTTTTGTTATGGCTGAGATCTCTTCTTGTCCAGGATCCCAACGTTACATGGCAACGTCCCACACATGAGAGACTTCGGCTGATTATGCATGCTTCTTGCACCAGAACATCATTGTCATTATACATCTTGCTGGGACATTACAGGTGGTACTTCTACGGGCGGTACACTTATATTGAATATTTGCTCTGCCCTACAGCCGATTGGTTTCTGGTGGGCACAACAAAGGACACCGTGGCTGGATCCGGCCGTTGCCGAGGTACAAAGAGAACGATATGAGGCAGGTGCCAGCAAAACATGCGACCGTGAGACACTGATGTGACAAGTGCCGGATGCAGCCCTGTTTTGAGATCACCAGTATTTGGAAGGAGCGGATCATCGAGCAAGTTCGACATGCTGAAATGAAACTTGAATGCACAAGATTCTCCGTTTGACTGGGTACGTGGTTTTTCCAGAGCATAGCATCATGCGGACATATGGGTACACAGCCGGAAAGCACATCCTCATTCATGCCATTTCATGCCCGCTGCTAACGTTGCTGATCAGCTTGCAAGCAGTGCGCGCCTCGAAGATCGCATTTTTAAGTCGTGCCAAGCCTTCTCAGGCCTCGATCTGTATCTGCACTTGTCGAGGCATCATGATGCCATGCGCAGCTTGCACCAAAGAATTGATTTGGAGCTCAATGTGGTTGGAGGCTTTGAAGTCGGGGAAAGCCGCAAATCTGGCAGTCTGGATTGACGCGAACCCAGAAGGCAAGGATCTGCTGGTTATATTATTGGTCGGCGAATGGTCGGCGCACTGGTCTTAGTAGGAGAAGTAGTACGGCTTTCTTCTGCATGTAAAAAGCAAGCTGTGGCTGTGGGGTGTTTTGGACATGGGAACGGTTTTCGGGACACCCAGACCTCAGTAAGATTGCTTGGAATACACGCCTCATGAACCGAAGATGCATTCTGGTCCATTTGGCCATAAAGACACTTGCATGTGGCATTGGGACACACAGTAGATGACCACTCGCAGATTCCAAGACTTCGAAAAGCGCGGCCAAGCAGGAGGCACAAGGGCACGTGTAAGATGCACAAACAACCTTAGAGAGACTTCCTGAAGTGCATGCCTAGCTTCGGCAGGGATTCTCCACTGTCGCCAAATTTTTTGGGCTTTGGCACGAGGCCCCAAAGCAAAAGCCGGAAATTTAGCGTGCTTGGACATGACTGTTTTTTGGTTTGCCACTCTGTCAGGGTCAGCGGGCTGCCCACCGCGGTCTGCACGAGTTTTGGTGGGGTAAGTCGCAACCTTGGGAATACCATTTTTCCGTCTTGAAAGCCTGCGTGATAATTTGGCTTTTGTGTGCGCAGAACATACATTTTCTTGCTGAACGTGCATCCGAAGGCCAGGGATTAGACAATCTGCTTGAGCTTTCCCTGCATTTCTGTCGTGTCCTGAATAGCATGAGAGTGCTCGTTTGCAGTTCAAGTGTCTGAATTTTGCAGCTTCTTGGCATTTATAGCGCTAGCCTGCTGCCAGGTCGGCTACGTTGAAGGCCAGAATGTTGCACTGAGTGAACACTGAGTGTACTACCATGTTGGCACCGGTTAACAGGCTCCTGGCGAAGTGATGGCCGTTGCTCAACCGGCGATGATGTGCCCAAGCCGCACCTTCAAGCCTTCATGGCACTGTCTGCCCGTGGAATGCCGCAGGCCAGCATCCGTGCGTCCTGCGATCCATCAAGTCAGCCGCGGCCTCTGTGTGGTTGCTATGTCGCCACAGGCTTTTGCCTGAGACTCAGCTGGCTTTCAGGACTCCATGCTGTTCAGCTGCTGGCTGGTGTGGCAGTACCACATCGCATTGCAGCTGCTCCAAATGCCTGGACACGCGCAAGGCTATTTGTTGCATTGCCATCCAGCATTTGCTGTTTGATTTCTGTGAGTGAGGGGTCTGCCTGTGCCCATGCACAATTGTTTGATCAACAGAAATTGCCGCTGTAGGGGCTTGCGTTTTGTGGGACCAGGAACTTCATGACCATCATTGTATTGAGTGTTATAGAAACGTATGATCCTAAACACTATAGTTGTTTGTTTGGATAGCTTAAGCTTTGGGCTTGAGGGATCCAGATGCTGCTGCTCTCTTTACGAGGCCCCTATTGAGTCGCGTACCCAGTCCCAGATCTCTCAAAACTCAGAGGCTCCTACGAATCATGATGCGGCCCTTGCATCTCGCGAGCTATGGAACTGAGTACGGGATAGAATAACCTCAGAATTCAGGATATCGCGAGATTCTCGATCTAAGCCTAGAACAGTTCCTTTGTAATTGTTCTGAAGCTAAACCATCCGCCAGCAGTCCCATGGGTCACAGCCTGATGTCATTATTATCCTCTTCATGGCGCCCAGTGGCGAAATTTGTACCCATGGTTGCGAGCCGAAGTGACTGTATAGTTTCAAGTCTTGCTATCACTAGTTACATTCTATGGAGCTCCGACTCGTCTACCCAACTGCAGGTTGACTAGCAACATCTCCATAGACAAGCCATAGTCTTTTTTCAGAACGTGATTGCTAGATTATACCAACTGCTAAGCGTTTCATTCAGCAATTACCTTCATATCTAAACATGGTAAGTAACAGCTATGGAGGATAACATCTCTATTATATGCATTGTATCAATTCGTATTAGCATGGCTGTGATATGGGTACAGTGCAGCGTGCATCTTCATACAAGAGCATGAAGTTTCGACACGTTTTGGGGAAGCTATCCACGAAAGTTATGGCCTCTGTACCTCGCGTCCATGAAGTTGAATGGAAAATAGCTGAGGCATTCACACGAAGTGTGGTGGGTTCTCATGGGGCTTCCATGATAATACGCAGGGGCTCAACCATGTCAACAAGCGCAATCCGTGTTCAAAACGGTAAAGGTAAGTAAACACAACATGAGCTCACATGTGTAAAAGCAGAGGAGTCTTGCAGGCCCTGCCAAAGCAAAAATTGTGATACGCGTGGAGATTTTGGTGCAAGGCATCAAGTAAACCCTTGAACCGCGAACCCTGAGCCCAAACCCTTAACCCTTAAACCCTAATACCTACTTACTTGCATGCAGGATCTCAAAAGAGCTTCTTGTAAGCTGCATGGAGGGCCTTGTGCAAAGGGTGTCGGGTTCTTGTGGGATTCTCCCTTGCGCAAGTACAGGGTACATTCAGCTGACATTTTTTTAAATGTATGTATGTATGTATGTATGTATGTATGTATGTGTGTATGTATGTATGTATGTATGTATGTATGTATGTATGTATGTATGTCGTTATGTGTGTACATAAGTATAGATTATAGATGAATCTATATCTTTATATCTATATATATATATGTATATACACATGTATCTATCTATATATATATATATATGTAAATCATCTCCCACAGAACGTGAGGGAATGTTGAAAAGGAAAGTCGTGAAACCCATTGCGTTAACATCGGAGCCTACACTGTATGCAAGTGGATATGTCTGATGGTTTAGCAGGACATGTTCTGTAAAAAATGTACTTAGACTAAGGAGTTTGATGGGGGCTTGCGGAAGATGAAAGGCTTGGAGGATAGAAGCTTGTGTAGACGGATCTTCATGAATTGGGGCAGGGTTTCTCTAGGCATATCACCACAATAATGCTTAACTACCCAGGAAAGTCAGCAATGCCCTCAATACCATTGAATCTACCTTAGCTGGTGTCAGGCGCATGCCGTCTTCAATGAACTACTAATGGTTATTTCAAATTATCATTCAGCATTTTTCATGGCAGGTGCGCTCTTCATGCAAAAATGTGTCATTTGCATAACATTCATGATGAATAGCATGAAGATACAGAATAGAACGACATGCCAACAAGTTTTACATGGAATACCGTGATGTTCAAACTTCAATTTGCATGGACATGGTGTCCTTTGGAGAGCTAGCAGTCGGTTGTCTCCATCAGATCTGACGTCATCGTTGACATGAGGCTTTTTCATGAGAGAGGCAGAACATGCATCTTTAGCTGGAAAAGGAGGCCTTAACGCCCACACACTTCACCCCAATCTTGCTGCAGATGAGCGCGAACTATGGACATCTGCTACCTCCAGACTTGCATCCGCTGCCTGCCAAGGACCAGTGAATTTTCAAAATCAGTTGCGGGGCTCCTTGAACCAAGGGCAGGGAGGCAAGAGCAGCTGAAGCTAAAAGCACGGGTGGTCAGACTTCGCTTCCCAAAACATCTTATCCTTGCACCCGCTCTGCATCCCCAAACCGCTTCCGAGCACAACATGCTCGGAAAAGGGTGTTCAGGATTAGCCTTGCTGCCACAACTGTTCCCGAGTCCAGAGATGCTATTGACGATGGATGGAAGTGTCATTCAACAAGTTGAAGGGCCTATGTGGCCTGCATGCTTCTGAGACGACTCCTCGTCTCTCACATGTTTCAACAGGACTTTGCCAACAAAGCACCTGCGCGGAAATTGACCAGACTCCGCGAAGGACGGAGTTTTTGAACTGAGGTAGCCTGTCGCAGCAGTCACGTCTAGCGAGCCTGTCATGTCGGCTTGCTTTGCAGAGTGCACGCATTTACTTAGGAAGGGTGTTACGCAGTATGGCCGTATGGTTGAGTGATGTTGAGTGGAAGATTGTCGCCCTTTGCTGTTGAACTTCCAGGCTGCACAAAATGGATGTGGCCTCCTTTCTTTTGGTTTCATTCCTGCTGCCTCTCTGTAGGAGGATGAGGAAGATTGACGTCTTCTCCTTGAGCGTCTCGAGCTCTAGCAGCGAGCATCCTCTCCTGGCAGCCTTACATGGCAAGACATTGTTTGCGGTGACACGGGAAGATGGTCAAAGACAATGATTGGCATCTGTTCGGATTTGGGCTTGCGCAAGCATAGTTGCTTTGGATTTCGACGTGGACGCTAAAGTCGACAGACTGAGTGTGCTGATGGAAGCATTTGAGCTATGCAGAGCTCTATCAAAGCAGGATGCGCTGACTGCCTGGTTAATCTTCAGGAAACATGCAAGATTCTGACCTCATCACAGTGGACCTCTTGGACGAAGCTTGAAGGGCTCCCTGATCTACATCTCAAACTCCGAGAGACTGCGCTGTAGATGTCCATTCAAAGTACAGCCGAGGACTTCCTCAACCTCCAGTGTGCAGATGTGTGCAGAGCATCCTTTCAGCAGCCAAGTCTGCACCGTCTGGACGGCTGTTTCTGCCTTTCGCTGCAATAGATGCCTTCTTGCGTTCCTCCGTGTAGGTTGCGTGACAGATCGTGACAGACGCATGACAATCTTTGTGTATACGATTTTCCGCGCATGTTGCTGCTGGTATCCGCTGCGAGGGCTCAAGGTTGGGAGTGAGATTATGGCTTCTGCCTGTCATCTTCATGCCCCACCTTGTCCTTAGTTCTGCGGGGAGCTTTTGCATCACGATGCATCACGCAACTTTCCAAGCTTCCCTTGCAAGGTTCTCCGGCCTGCCAGGGCTGGCAGCAGCATGAGCCCTATTGCTCGGTGATGTCACACAAGCACTGTGGGTTCTTACACGCCGAGGCCCTGTTTCACGCGAGCATGGCAAACTCTGATTGTGCTGCAGCCTCGGTTCTCACGCCAGAGCAACGCGTGACTAGTTTGCACGAAGAGACCGTGCAAACTGCTTCTGGGCTATGATAACTTCCGCGCAAGTAGCAACGTCAAGCCAGAAACACGGGAGAGGCTAACTTAGCAGCTTTGGGGAGTATATGACCTTCATGGATGTGCAGAAGCTTCTTCCAAATCACTGCAGCTAGACTCCTCAAGGGCAACAGAAAGAGATGGTGTCTGCAACGGGTACGCAAGACCTCCCTTAAACTCCAAGTTCCATGAACATGTGCATGCAAACCAGGCTGGGTGCAGATGGCAAAGGTTGGTTTGGCCGTGCCCCCAGTGTTTCGTGCTGAACTTGAAAGTACACAGATCCTGGTGTCGCAAATGATAAAGCCGCTTCATCCATATCAAGACAGCTAGATCCTCATTTTGGCGCATAGCATGGAAAACTGCACAAGCTTGACGGATGACCTTAAAAGGTTCTGTTATTGCATGGTGTGTGCTGATTGAAAGGCTGTTCTACTTCTATGCGGCGCATGTGATGGGCAAGACAATCAACATGCGTGTTGACGCAACCGGCCAAATCGGTCGAGTTCTCAGCATGCTGCGTCCCACCGACTAGACTTTGCAGGCTCCTTACTGTGCTACTGTGCTGTTATTGCAGTCTTCTTATCTGACTCGTATTGCCACATGGCCACATGGCCAGCCTGCTTTGTGTGCGTCTAGCGACATTTGTTGAGGCACAGAGGGCCTTGATGCATGGAACCCTCGGAGAGTCCAAGAGGCTGGCATGTCTGTCACAGTGCTGTCATGAAAAGAAGGGTTTTCGAGGCGCCAGAAGTGACCTGTAGAAGAAACTACGTGCTCAGACGTGCAAGGCTATCGAGATCCTGAATGGGTCTGGGTGGCAAGCCATTCGAATGGATCCCCGGGATTCAGGCCGACCTGACCATGCTATGACAATACCAAGTCCAGAAGTGGAGACAAGTTCAGTCTCCGCGAGGCTCACTTGCCGATGCTTCGGAGCATGTCGTGTGCGACTCAGGAGTTTGCGAGTTGAAGGTCATGCCTGCTTTGGTGACAGGACAGGAGCGCCTATGAAACAACACATCGTTCCAGTCGATTGCCGTAGTTCAAGCCCCCAGACCAATTTTAAGATTGGTACAAGCAGACTTGGCAATGCATCAACATACTCCATCCGATCAGCAGAATCATCAGAGGAACCAGCTGCGCTCAAGGCTCTTTTGCCCAAGTCCCTTCACAAGCCGCCTAAGAAGCTACCCTACGAATCTGGTCTTCGAAAGCATTGCCACTCCGCACTCGAGTCTGAATATTCTTGGAAAATCTTGGCAAATTAGGTTTAGGTGACTTGTGTTTCACACACATGTACACAAGCTTAAAGTGTTCAAAATCTAGCAAGGTTCCATCGTAGAGCGGACTTGCAAGGTTCTACGAACCGCCGCAAGGTACCGAATGAAAACAACTCCATCCTGACGCCACGCAGAACAAAAAGCAATTCGTCAAGTTCCTGCCGCAAAGTCCTTCAATCAATGGGACAAAATCCGCAGCTCAGCAAAGTAAGGGCGTTTTTCCCATTACCAGTCTCAACTCTTCTGCTGATGGCTTTAATAAGCTCTCTTGGATTTCCCTCTTTGATTCCCCTGAGTTGCGGCCACCAGTCTCCAGCAATCAAGCTGCGACCGCCTTCTGTACTTCCACGCTCCGTCTTTGAAAGCCATGGCCGGAGAGCAGCCGAAGAAGCCCGCAGGAGGAGCCTACGGAGTGTGGCTGGCGGAGCATCGTGCAGAATTGCAGAAGGAGGTCGGCCCCGGGAAACCCGCATCGGAGGTTGCCAAGCTCGCCGGAGCCCGCTTCAAGGAGGTCAGTGCCGAAGAGAAGGCCGTATACCAGAAGAAGTTTGAGGAGGCCAAGGCCAAGTACGAAGCAGACATGAAGGCCTTCCTCGAGGCGGGCGGCGAGAAGAAGGGCATCAAAAGGAAGGCCGACAAGGTCACCAAGAAGAAGGATCCAGCAGCACCTAAGAAGCCGGCTGGTGGTGCCTTCGGCTGCTTCCTTGCCAAGAACCGGGCGGCCTTCATGGAGGAGACCAAGGGTCAGCCCATTACGGCCGTCACAAAGCTGGCCTCTGACCGGTGGAAGAAGCTCGGTGAGGATGACAAGAAGGTTTTCCAGGAGGAATACGAGCTCAAGAAGGCACAGTACGAGGAGGCCAAGAAATCATACGTGCCCCTGCCCAGCGCCGAGGACGAGGAGATCGAAAAGCCGGCAAAGAAGGCAAGGGCCTCCAAGGGGGAGAAAGATGCGGCCAACCAGGGTGCCAAGGATAAGAAAGCCAGGGAGGCCACTATCCAGCCCGCAAAGCGGTCCTTGCTTGGCGCCTAGGCAGTCCTGTGGGCACAGCTCAGCTACTGTGATCCCCCTGACGCATAGGAGAAGTGATTTCATGGGGGCAAGTTGAGGGATTGAAATTCAATGTCTAGAGTGGTTCAGTGAACTAGACCGTGATTGGCTGGCAGGGCTGCTCATGCTTCAGGGAGATCCCAAATGTCAGACATGCCTGTCACAGTGTTTAGCCGCGATGTATATGCAGCTATATCTATATACATACACATATGTTCTGGGCTGCCACATATGTTTGTTTTGAGCAAGTGTGAGTTCATTGGATCAGGCACTATCTGGCAAGTGTTTCTGCGACAAGACTGTATGTGATCTACACACAATCAAAGGGGAAGCTCGATTGTGTGATGCCTGCATGGTCAATGGTCCATCGCCGCCTATCCGACGCCTCGAGCAGTGGACAAAAACAAGGCCCATCCTTGGTTCCAGTACCTGCGTGCGTAGAAAGAAGGGGCTCTCAAAAAGCAAGCTTTGTTTGGTTCTATTTGGGGCTTTTTCACTGTTGGAAATCAAAAACTGACCGTAGAAGTTGAAAACACGATGGTAGCAGCAGAATCCTACTAATTATCCATTGCTCGGTGAGACATTCCCACGGAAATGAAGCAGTTTCCAGGTGCTTGTCTCGAGCTGGCTGGTGATGACACTGATGGGCAGCCATGGGGCTCTGGCCTCAGACATGCGACTGTGCTGGAACTGGGATATTGCAGCACGAGCTGCGTTGAATCACGCAATTCTTCAGGACACAGCCAGCAAACCACAGCCGCTGCCCTGGAACATGTGCTCTTGGTTGGTCTTGTATGCGTCATGCCGGCATTTGTTGCCACACCTATATCCATGCCAGTCGAGTAGCCGATAACAACCAAAACAGAGTCTTAATGTCACCTGAAGCCTATCCTCTTTGCGAGTGGCCCCTTATAGTGCTTCTGAAAGAGGCTCCGCCAGCTGACGAATTGTGTGCGAACGGCCACCGCCTCGATTCCTCCTTGCAGCTGGTAACATCGAACTCCTTGCTCCGGTTTGCAGATGTTCGCAGTGTCAGGTCAGTGCAGTGTCTATCTCCTGTTCTTTTTTCTGAGGCGCTCTCAGAGGCTCTTCAGGCGGCAAGCTTAGATCATCCAAGTGTAGCCTGGATGAGTGCAACATGCTCTGCTAGAAGATGCCGGATGCTGGATGGCATAGCTTGCTCTGGTTGTCCTTTTCTGTCGGTGAAAGGTTTGCAGAGCATCAGTTCATGTCACCGCTCCCCTGGCATGCTTGAGTTTGGCATTGCTGCATGCTAGAAGAAGTACAGGAACAAGCGCACGGAGTCTGTAGAATGGCTTTTGACTATGCAGTGTTTTGTCTAATGGACACTCAGCAGCTTGCCTGGCCAGGATATGTCTGTCAAGGGAGGTGACGACAGCTTGATCGAGATGCTGCAGGATCGTTTGTCCTGAAGAAAGGGGTTGAGAGTGCAGCGTGGAGTAGGAGCCTTGGCGTCCGAACTGGCACCATCAGCACCATTTCTTTCTTGAAGAGGCAGGCGTGTGAGCCTTAGTGGTCAGATGACTTGACTCGAGCTTGGAATGTCTTGTGCTGACACGTCATCAGGGCCGCAAGCTGGCGCGGATGATGCGTCGAGTCTGGGCCTCGAATCGAATGTGATGGCTTGCAGAGTCACCAGATGGCTTTTCCTCTAACCCTTGAGTCACTGAACGCAAGGCAGAGAACTCTTTCAGGCGGATGAACTTCACTCGGGTAAAGTTGGACGCCCAGTTGCTGCTTCTACAGGTAGTAGTATTCTGGCAGACGCAGCCGCAAGTGTGCAGAGCTAAGGGCATCTTACGAGGTGCGCATATTTCCGGAGATGCGAGTGCGAGGCTTAGTGGCATGATGGACCAATGCGACGCTCAGTTTCCCACATGGTTTGGCGCTAGAAATGTGCCTTCCAGCACGACATTTCTTGCCAGTCATCTGCTGCAGGTAAGCTCGAAGGAGATCGTGCAGCGGATCGGTGCTTATGTCACCGAAAGCATTGGCTTTGATTTTCTGGGAAAGGTTTGATCCCATCAGATTGCAAGGATAGACCGTCTGCAGATCTTCAGCAGGTTCGTTGCACCTGTGCTATGCACTCTGTTTGTACAGACTTGTGGGGAGGCTCTTTGAAATCCTGCTGTCCGAACTTCTAATACAGGATATGACCTTCCCCATGGACCAGGTTTGCCGACTTGAACCACTTACTGGTTCGAAGTCTTGTTCACAGCTGGGCCCTCGGTGCTAGAGTGACGAATCCTTCAGCGGTGCTCAACTTGGAGTGTGAGGAACTGCGCATGCGAAGACTGCGGAGGGTGTCCGGTCCTTAGTTCGGTCGGTAGGGCTGCTGAAATGTGAGGTTCTTGAATCAGCCAACCAGTCATGCAGGGGTTGTGCACAGGTCCAGGTGGGCATATCAGTGTAAGCAGTGGAAAGTGAAAGGGTCCGAAGTGTAACAAATGCATAACCTCCACACCTTGGGACCAGATAGGGACTTTATGAACTTAAGTGGGTATAGCAATCCAGCAATCAGGAAGCACTTCATTTTGTTCTGCAGTGCTCTTCAATCAGGTTTGTGTGTCGCCCAAATCCCTACCAGGTTTCAAGCCCAAGAGGTTTAACATGGGCGTCCCAGACGACTCGCCCAACAAGTTGCGGGTATCCACTTCGGAGGATGGCCCATCAGATCATTACGGAGATGCGTTGGCACATAGAATGGCTCGGAATGGTTCGGGTCGGTAGATGGTGGCAGTAAAAGCTTCAATTCTTCATGTCAAGCTGGTAAGTGAGTGAGGCCATCGTTCAGATCTAATGCCTTGCCTGTTTCCTGTGGTGCCTTGTGCTCACGGGACATTCAGGTAATGTTGGATGACATCGGTCCTTGCCTGGGGCAGCCTCCAAGTCGGCGTTCGGAAATGTTGGACAGCTGAGGATACGGTTTGCGCGAAGTCAAGCCGCGGACGGGTTTGCCAGCAGTGCAGGTGCGCGGCAGCTGTCTTTTTGTTTGCAGTCCTTTCAACATCCATGCTCGCAGTACTTTTGCAGTGCATGCACATGCACCGGTGTCCTGCATCTTATTTCACATTCTGTCAGCTGGCGGACTGCATGGAAGAGGGCCTCCTGCAAGATGCTCGAGAGGCAAGCCGACGTAGATGTCTACTTTGTGATTCATGGAAAAGTTGCAAGAGTCGGTTCGCCGATGACCAGCGTTTCTGAAGGTACATCAGTACGTCATTGGTCTGTGCTGCGTGCTGGCCCGCCTCGCCACGTTGAATCTGCGGCCGCTGGGCTTGTAACGGTTGCCGTGGGCACACCTGAGGTTCTTCTCATTACTTGCGCGGGCTCGGCCATCTTCTCATTGAAGCAGCCATCTGTGGTTCCTGGACTGAAGCAGTGTCCAGCATGCAGCTCAAAAGTTCATGCAGAAATCCGCCTCTGCAGGTCCCAAGCCGCACAAACCCTCTTCTCGCGTTGCGATGATTGCTGCGGCATCTGCTTGCTTACTGGAAAGAGAAGCATCAGGTAACGCAGGACATCATTTGAGGCAGATAATCTGACTGTTTACCACTTCAAAGCTGTTGCGCTCGCACATGCCTGGTGCAAGGCGATTGGACTTGAGGGATGCAAGTTGCAAAAATGCGAATTGCGGCTCGAACTGATCGCATGCACCGGTGGCGCAGTCAAACGAACTAGACAGCGACATGAAGATGCTTGTAGACGTAGCCTCTTGCCATCATCTTCTTTGGAAATGAATTGCTCGGCATGAACAAGGTTGAGTGCACTGATGATGCAGGCAACGTGGATTAGCTCTTTCCGAAGAAACGACAGAGACCTTTAGAGAACATGGTAGGATGTTGCTGTTGGGTTGGTTCGCTTCCGCAAGAGGAAGCACGCTTGGAAGTGCATTTTGTAGTGCACCTCAGTTTTAATTCCCCGTGCGAAGCTTGGCTCCTGATTCCGTGGCCAGATGCAAGCATCTTGGCAGCATATCCCTAGTGTTTCCGGAAAGGGCAGCACTGCACCAGTCCAGAGGTTGGAAGGAGTCAGCATGGACTACAGTGCATTGTAGTCAGGCATGGAGGCTTCGGCAGCTTCTGTTTGGGGCTCAGATTCGTGCTTTGCGTGAGCTGTGGCCAGACTCTGGACATTGCTTAGCCTGGCATAGCTGGTTTTGCGCTGAGATGCTTTTCTGCGTGCCACTCTCCACGCCTGACATTTCGTTGCAAGCTGAGATTTGCTAAGCATTCTCGTTCTATCCAAGCCATGTTGTGACGGGCTGTAAGTGACCTAGTGCAGTTCTCAAGCTCACCCAGCACGCTTGCTCTTGAATAATGCATACAACAGCCTTTGTATCCCGAGGCCATCCTCCGGCACGCTAAAGCGCAGTCTGCGACAACGGGCTCCTAGCTTGTTCGACGAACTCGCTGCGCCTCATGATGTTCCGCGCTCAATGGCCAAGATTCCGGCTCCTACCGACTGCTGTGCAGCCTTGACTTGTTTGGCCTCCGTTTGCTTCAGGTTCTGCCAGTGTCATCATCACTCCGACGTGTTGCGACAGCCCTACAATACAAGAGCGGCATGCAGAGAAGCGTTTATCACTTTTTGAAGAATCTTGCCTGGTGCAGGCTGCATGACCATTGTGCACAATGAATTTGCCTCAGGTTGGGGCGGGACAGCCTCATCCGGAGCTGAGGCCACAGGACCACACATGCCACACAACCTTTTGAAAGACTGCACATGCTCCACTTTGAAGGCGCATGGCTTGGCTGATGTTCCTTTTCGTGGTGCTGGACACCTCCAAAGGCTTGCTGGTATCCTGGCCTGAGCCTGACGTCTACCCTGACAGTAGCAGCAATCTGCTTTTCAATTCATTTGGCTTGCTGAGGTCTGCAGCACACAGCTGCGTTGCACTCGTACCAATAGCACTTTGTGTCTCCTGACCCAGTTACGAGATTCCTCTTGAAGTCCAAATGTGCGTGCAAGTCTGCTTCATCCGCACGCGGCGCTTGAGGCAAAGAATCTGCTGTCCATTGGTTTCGGCCTGGTGATGGCTGCGTTGCTGGACGGCATGCCTGGGGTGAGGCTCGGACTTGTCCTTTGCATGTTCTGCTCGGAAATTGTACGTTCTGTGCCAGTCGGTGCTTGGACATTCGCCGCTCCCTCCGCGTCTTCCCTGCTTGCTCCACAGGTGTTGTGCTGTCTTTGGAAAAGCTTCCCGCAGTCGGCAGCCAGAAGCTTGAGTGCCAGCACTCCCTTTGTGCTCAGGTAGCTGCATGCTTCTGCGCTGCACAGATGGCCCAAGTCCCAGGTTCACGCAAAGCTGGCATATCGCCAGATGTGTGGATGCAAGACATGGCAAATGTACCCCAAGTCCAAGAATCGATTCATTCATGGAAAGAGGCTGAACTTTCTAAAGCAATTTTGGTTGTGCTTATTCTGTCCATGGATCTCATGGCAATGTCTCGAAGGCACTAGTAGGTGAGACTGCTGAGGCCATGCTAGCGGCCTTCCGAGCCTTCAATGCTGGCAGTTTGAAGATTATGGCGCAGGCTGGGTGGTCCTGAGACCCAAATGTCATTCTTGATCTTGTTCTCCAATGCATGCACACGGCAAGGAGTTATCGTTCAGGCAAGGAGTTATAGTTGTGTCATCAACTGCGAATGTAGGAGAGCAGAAGAGCAGCCCATTTTGACCAGCATGACTCTAATTGGTAGCCGGTATTATTCAGAAATATACTCCAGCATGACGAGTGAGATCATGTGATTGTATGGAAGAAATCAAGAACTTGCAAAATGATGAGAACAGGTGCCACAGAACCAAATGCGTCGTAAGCGCTAGGTCATGCAGAAAGACGCTGCTCAGGTGAATCTTCCCACTATGGCGGTTCTGTCATGGGCTCGTGTTTTTTGAGAGCTGTGAAGGTAATTGCTGTGTTTGGACACTTTCACCAAATGCTTTTTTGCGTTATGTTGCTTTGTCCTGCAATGAAGGTCATGGTTTGTTCTCCGGCGTCGCTACACAACACAGCAGCGCTTTGCTGAAAGATTCATACTGCAGATGACAGTGCCACGCTTTTGATCTCCAGTGTTGTGTGGCAAAGGTGGGCTGCCATTGCGTTGGTCGCGGCTGCCATGGTCTCGGCTACTAGAGGCAGCTGCAGATTAAACGTGCTTGCGAGACTTCGCCAAGTTGTCAGCGACACTGAACGCCTTGAGTGGCATTCTCTGAGAGACTTAAGTCCATTACTGAGCTGGAAGCTAAGGCTGTGGCTGCGTTCATGCTAGTCATGGGCTGAGTACTCGATTCTGTTGGCCAGGGACTGTTGCATATCTTGACTCTTGACATTTTGTTTGTGCGAGCCCACCAGTTCTCCGACTCCTCCTTAGGATTGGATGTCTGTCTGCTGATATGCCAACCTGAATTTGTCAGTCAACCTTATGCTTCAAGCACTCGTTGAGGTGAGATTGCTGTACTACAGGCACCAAGTTCTGATTTCGGCTGATGATGTCGTGGGTAGCGTCAGGATGAGTTTCCATCTGGGTTGGTGTTCCTTTGATTTGCCACGACAAGTGTCAACGCTTGGCAGCCGCCGCCTCGTCATGGCCAGGCCGCCGTACTTCGGACAGGAGGATCAGGAACCTTCCCCATTCCTGGGCATTGCCGGGCTCCTGTGCAGTGCCTTGGGCGTTTAAGCAGTGCTACCATTGGTTGACGTCAGTTCATGATCCGGAATTCTTTGCCAGCCACGCCCGGCACACTTGTTTGGTTACCAGTGCATCCGAGGCATTTTTCTTTCTTGTTCCGCATCAATTTTGACCGAGAGGCTTCAGAGCAGAATGCCGTTCAAATGGGACTGGTGAACCTTCAAATCTAGTTGTGGACTTCCGTTTACAAAGTCTTGCAGGATGCCCCACCCTGCCAGGTTTCTCAAGCTGGATGCCTCTGAAAGGGCACCGTTTTACATCCAGAAGCGGCAGTCCTACTTTCATTCCGCGGGTGTGAGGCAGCAGGCTGTGTGGGGTCTTGCGACTGATGATAATGCATGCTTTTGCTAGCGTGAAGCTCACGCCAAGGACAAACATCATGCTGGGGGAGGTTGTGACCTCCTTCATGTTGACCGCTCTCTACTTGCAGGGGTTGGCCTCCGAAGGAGGCCCGCAAGTAGGATCCACCACTTCCAGAAGCCACTTTAAAAACAAATTCATGAAGGGCAGGCTCGCAGGCGGCTAGCATTTTTTGGTTTGAAGCCAGCTCCTCTGCCGACGCGGTATCTGGCATCTTTCATGGAGGCAGGCTTGCTGCCAACTTGCTGTCTCCACGCAGGAGCTACTTCATGCGGCTGGGAGCAGGCATGGGCTCCTTCAAGCTGGACAAGGGCCCTCAATGCCCTGCGGCAGGTGTCTGACAGGCGAAATTTGCTGGTGGTGCTGGTGTGGGCAGTTCACGGCTGGATGGCCGGAATCATTGCAACAGCCTTAGACAAGAGGCTATGAATCGAAAGCGGGGCACGTGGTCCAAGCAAGTTTCCATCAGGTGAAGCAATGCTCTGCAGTGGTGAAGAACTTGTCCCACATCCTGTCTGCAGCTGTTGGCAGCTCAGCACTTTGTGCTGCGCAGGTTCTTGCATGTTTGCATTTTGGAAAGTCCTCTGCCAAAACACAGGAAGTGTTTTCCAGGTCATGTATTTCTTCCCCTTGGCTTTCATCGCTGCTCCAGTGAACAACGGACCTGTGTCCGCCTGTGCACTTTTGGTATCTTGGCTTCAACACGAACCGACGCATCGGATGTCGCAGTGACTTTTGTTCGAATATGAAGTACATTTTGTTTCTAAGTGCAAGTGCAAGTGACGACGATCTGTTTTCACATTCTGCGCTGCAAGTTGGCGCAGACTGCCGGTTCCGGTTAGCGTTTTGCAGGGATGCGTTACGCTCGTCACGTGTAATCACATGTAGAGATTTGGAGGTGCTGATCGCAATCATGGTTTGGGCTCTTGCCCCAACTGTCAGAGAAAAGCGGCCGCTGCCACAGTCTGGGCCTCTGCTATCGCAGTGCGCAAGCATCCATGCTTCGCTTTGAGTTTTTTATTGACACGCACCACTTACTTGTCCTGAACATGAGCATGGCCAGGATGCACCATGGTGTGCACTTTGAGCCAGACACCTGGAGCGGACCTTGCCAACTCACGGCTGGCAACCAGCTTTGAGCTTAGGCAGCCCAACAACCAGCTGTCAACGCCGCTGCTGAAAAAGGCGTGGCCTTCGTCTACAGATGGCTCAACAAGGGGCTGGAATGCTGCTGGTCGCCTCAGCATACTCCCGAGTATTTTGCAGGTGGCCTCCTCAAGTGCTTCAGCCACTTGGGCAGATAGAGAGGGCCGCAAGATCAGAGCCTCTAGATGCTTTATTCCCTGGGAATGTCGAGGTAGCCACAGAGCCCGTTGCTGACGATGAAGGCTCAGTCACACTACACGAAACCTCTCGACGTTTGCCGATATGCTTTAGGAGGCAGCTTCCCTCATATGGGACCTGTTGCACCGAGCCTAGCTCCATGCATACTGTGCAGTTGTAGCACGCAAATGCTCAGGAAGTCGAGGGTTCTTAGAAGACGCTCAGAGCTCATGCCGTTTTGAACCAAGGTGTTGGGTTTCATATTTTTGGATGCAGCCAAGCCGATCATTGTCAGCTGGGCTCACAGCAACAAGGCCTTGTGGTTGCGAGAGTCGTATTTGGAATCCCTCTAAGCTTTGTTTTGTTTTGCAGTTTCCACACTGAAGTGTCTTGAATTTGCTTCCTAGGCAGGATATGGTCTTGCAGAGTGGTGCTTGTTTGCAGTAAGATGTACTCGACGCGCGCTCCGTGTGACTGGAGGTGGCTGATCAGGGTTTCAACGGGGTCACGCTCATTTTGGTGCAGCAGCCTGGCAGCATGTTATTGGGGTAATATTCGGGTTTTACGGGGTTATATTATTGAATAAAAAGGAAGCTACTACATTGTATATATATATATATATGTGCTTATATATTTGTGGCAAGGTAATGAGCGTGGTGCAGGGCTGGATGTTGGCAGATTGATGCACCAAGAATGATGTTTTGCGGAGAGAGTGCTAACTGTGGCTTCTGGGTCCTACCCATGGCATCCAAGGACTTCAATCTCCACAGCTATAGGCCCGCAACCCGATGCCATGAACCCGGCACACGAAAGTGCGCTCAGTGCTGCCGGCGAGGGCTCCTGGTTGCTGCCAAGCCTTCATTGTCGCTTCCCAGCTTGCGGGTGGATGCTCAGAGGGCTCTGAATTCATGGATGTCTAAAGGTGTAAAGTTTGCAGCACAAGATTTTGACAAGGTGCAGCTTCACCCGGGGTATCGGGAACGAGTGCCTCGCTGGAGCTGCATTTGGATACACACGGCCTTATGTTGACAATGGATCGCGGAGTAATCATGAACAGTGTGTTACAAGGTATCTCCATGCTGCAGAATGCCGCAGATGCAGTTGAAATTGTTGGTAGTAAGGTGTACCGCTGCCTCGAGCCAACAGCTGTCGGAAGGCTGTGAGCCCAGTCCATCAGCCATCAGACCACAACATAGTGGCAGTTCCTGGGCCTGTAAGGCAGCTTCCTGTGAGCTTCTGCCTCGTGATGTCAAAGCAAGGGTCTCAGCAATAACCACCTTTTCACCATGTTGTGCTGCCAGGATCTCAGCATGATAGGCCGCCAAGCTTTTGACATAACGACTCGTGGAGCAGCGAATCTCCTGCACGGATCAGACTATGACCGCAGTGGAAGCTGTGTCCGTAGCGTCCACTCATGGAGTTGGCCGATGGAAACCCACAGGCAACAGATGACATGGTCCAGAGCAGTGGACCCTGTGACACCCTGTGCACACTTGACCAGACCCAAAGGGCCGCAGACGCTTTCGGCACGCATGTTTGCTGCTCTGGGTCCAGGCTCTGCCTCATCATGGCCCTCGAGAAACTGGATGCTGGATCTGTGCGGGTGCTCTGGAGCCGCATCAAGTCTTTTGATAGTAGGGACTGTGTAGAGGGGTGGAGGACACGGAATTGGCTGGTTTCGCAAACTCACGAGTCAGAGGTGCTCTGCCAGTCCAGCCTTCCACTGGTGGGTGTGGCTGGAGTGCGCTTCTCAATAACTGGCCGAGACTACAATGCCTGGCAAGAAGAGACAGAGATGCTTTGCGTTGCTCTGCATTACTTTGCATTCCTGCAGGCAGTACTCTATGGAAGGCGGTACTCTGCCATGCAGCTTGGGGCTCAGACGCCTGCATCAAGACGCCTTGTCCATTGCTAGACGTCTGAGGTGGTGCTCCCTCGCCGGAGTCACTGTTGCCTTAGGATGTTTCTACTATGTCAAGCATGAGGCCGGTAGCGGGTCTTCAAGACAGGCTTCGCGTGCATGTGCGATATGCATCGATATGCGACATGTCAGCTTCGCAGGTGAAGCTCTCAAGCTGTATGTATGATCAGGCCAGGTTGCTCATCTTCTAAAAACCTGGACATACTTCTCTCCCATGCAATGAGGATGGAGGGCACGCCTCGAGCTGTGCCTCCACGTGCTGCAGACACGTCAATCACAGGGCAACCACCGGACGGGTTCTGCAGCAGAAGAGTTTCGCCAGGTCTGGCACCGTCTTAGCGCTGTCAAGCATAAGTGGAATCCTTGGACGTAGAACAGGATTCTTCAATTAAACTGGATGTCTTGCTGTTGCCCAGGCTTCAATTGTCTTGGGGTCCCGAGCTTGGATTTTGCACATCGTGCAGGCATGATTGCCATCGCTGGTGTGAGCCTTTGAGACAAGCACATTAGGCCCTGCTGGCAGAAAAGTTTCTTAAGAAGAGGCACGAGCAGTAGATGGATGTGATAGTTTGTTCGCCTGATGAATGGCGCCAGTAGCCTTTTGCAAGTTGACAGGAGTGGCCACCTCTACGAGCAGAAAGTGCAACTGGTCTCTGGGGAGGTTGGGTGCAGCAAGAGCAACTCAACGTTTCAACGTGACATAGCCTCCACAAATAAAGATCAGTACACGGCTGCTGTAATTCTGCATCAGACAGACGGAGTATTTTCAGGTTCTTTTTAACATTTTCCTCCTGTTCATCATGCCTTTCCTTTTTAGCGCGACGAGCCTAGCTGCCGGTTGTTGCGTTCCTGGCGGACACGAGGTGGTGCCGTGGTGCTGTGCAGACTCAGGATCCAGCAAAGCGCTCGTTCAACAACGTGTTCGAGCGCGGCTTTTTCGCCGGCTGGGTGAGCCACATCAGCGCTGTGTGCAGCACATGTTAAGAGTCCAGCCACAGAGCAGATCCTGAACGCGACGTATCTGAACCTGTTAGCTGACTGGCCCGATCCGATCCCATGGTGTTCCCTCTGTTCTGCAACGCTGTGCAGGACATAAGGGTGCTGATTTGCGCTCTGGTGTGGATTCCATCTGGTCAGCAGCCTGAGTTTTGCAAGAGACGGGCGCCTGTAGCCAAGAGTAGCAAATCGAGGAGACTTTCTGAGCACTGCGAGCATGCAATTTATTGGGGAAGGTTTTGTAACAGCCTGCCTGCTTCCATTTGCAATTTCTGCACCTTTTTGAGACTTTGTTTTCTGGATTGCATGCGGCATCTACGAGCCAAGTGTTCATGCAGAGAAGACCGGTTCGTGTGGACCCACCAAATGGCCAGAGTTGAGAGACATGGGTTGACGTTGATGGCAGGTTGGACGGCGACAATGCTCGTCAAAGTCGTACCCTTATTGACCTTGAATGTTTGCAGTTCAACAGATTGGCTTGGCAGCATGTGTTTTGTGATGTTTCATGTTTCTTCACATTTGCCAACTCAAGCCGCGGTCGAAAGTGTAAGTGTAAATGAGTGTTTTGCATGGGCCTCAAACTCGCCTGGAAGGAAGCCTCCAACGTGCTGAAAGTCGTTGCCCAGGGTGCTGCCTCTATGCTGCCGGGGACTTAACCACGGCAAACATCTTGTTGTTCTGATGGAGGGCAAGGTTTCAATCGGGAACAGGTTGCGTCATGCGTGTACAGTCAATAACGTCGCTGACATGCCCGCATCATTGCCGTTCAAAATGCCATGGCGCGAAGTTATCTAAACTGTGCGAAGGCGAAGGCTCCTTGATCTAAAATTCCAAACATGGAGTGCAGTCACCGCCAAAACAATTGCCCGTGCTGCAGATGACTGGCTTTTCAAATAACATACTATACTTATGTGTGTATATATTTATATATATTCTGATTACAAGGGTTATGTATATACACACGCTATAATCTACTATAATACTATATACTGCACGGGTTAGATAATGGAAAAGAAAATGGAAACGACTATTTAGGATAAGATTGGTTTGGGTAATTTTGTGGTCGTCACGAGCCACTATGTTTCAGGCCATGTCATACCTGCAAGGACTTACGCCTTCAGCCTCACGCCATTCGTGGCAGCGGCTGGCATGAAGGCTTCGGGTATCATCAGAATCAGGCTTACCCAAAATTAGGGGTACCTTTTTTGGGGTCCCCGTAATAAGGGTGATAGTATATTGGGGTCTACAGTGGGGGTCCTCTTATTTTGGGAAACTACCAATTACACTGGCCACAAACCTTGCCCCTGAAGGGACGCGAGCCGATCTCGGCGCCTGTTGCAGTATTGGCTCTAAGTGTCCTCTTCGCAGGGGCCTTGATGAGCCTCCGCTTGTCGGGCTTAACTGTCATGGTATCAGGCGGTATCCTTAGACTGCATAGTCCTTCGTGGCCCTGGCAACCTAGGCTGCGCTCACCTTCGGCTTGGATAGCGTCCATGCCAGCACGTTGCTAAGATTTGTATGGTTACTGAGCGAGGGTTTGGAAGTTCTGGATCAAGGTCGAGCCCCGTCAGAAAACTCCAAACGCGAGGATCCCCCGCCCTTTGGATGCAAGCAGCCAGGCTCCGTCAAAACAAAAAGAGCCACCCATTCACATTTTGCTCCGGGCTGTGGCATCTAAGGAACAAAGCTGTCGGCAGCACCGCTCGCGGTGGTTGAATGGTCTCGCATGAGTTTTACGTTCCCAGCCTTGGGGTGTCCCCAAGAGCTTGTTGGCACAACAGACGGCATCCCCAGAAAGCGTGAAACATCTTGGGACACCCCAAAATGCAAGTTTGAAACAGTCGGAAAGGCTTCACCCTCGACCTTTCCATCAGTTTTCCATGTGCGTGTGCTCCTTCAGGCCGAGTGCTATGAGTGCGGCTGCTAAAAAGCTGCAGAAAGGAGCCATCTGGTGTACAAGTAACTAGCAGAGAAGCAGTAGAATTTGTGCTGCTGTGCTGTTTTTGATTGCGTCGTGTTGGTAGGCGTGCTCTTGGTCTGCAAGCAACATGCATCCTTGACTCCCCGCGCAACAGTCCAATCAGTTGATACAGGCACATGCAACGCCGGGTAATAAGTGTGGTGTACCTACATCCTTATCCTTACTACCCAGTTGCGATGGCTACATCCTTATCGTTGTCAACCAGTTGCGGTCTAGTCTCGAATAGCTACCTGCACTCAAGATCGCCACACTCTCTGCTGCACTGGTGCTATCCACAGCTCCTCCTACAGTACGCCAAGAACAGAATGCCGGGCACCGTTTCCTTCGTACGATACATACTGCTTTGCATTTTGGTTTCCGACAGTGCCATGGAGTTACCGCAGAGTTGCTTGGCAAGCAGTTTGCCGTGATGACCTGCCTTCAGCCACACTTCTAGCAAAGAACATGCTCAGCTGCAAGTCCTCGCACGTACTGCCCGCTGGTGCTCGGCCTCTGTGCGAGGGGGTTATATGGGGGGATAACGAAAAAGAAAATGGAAACTACTATAATGGGTTATATGGCTCATATAAGCCACTGTGTATCTCCTCGGCTTGTAAGGTTGAAGCCGCCGGAGCGCTGGAGCCACTTGGAGCCACTGCAAGCTGCAGCAATGGCTTGTGCCCCGGTTCTCGTGGACATGGTCGAGTGTGGATCAGTTTGTGGATGTTTGTGGTATCCATGGTCCATACAGGTCTAACAGGATCGAAAATGCAGGTCACAGCTTGATTTCATTTTGTTCAATCACGTCAGCTCAACGACCTGTTCACTGAAGCTGATCATGCAGCTGATCCTGCACTGGCCAAAAGCGTAATTCATTGAAGTAGTGATCACAATCAGAGCAAGCTCTGCTCACTTTTGGACCTTAAAGCCTTGAACTCCTGAAGCGCCTGAGGTTGATGTGGCCGCGGTTGGGGCGAGCATAACTCTGTGCAGCGCTCAGGTCTCTTGCAACCTTAGGCAACTTTGGCTTGCAGAGGACCAGCTTGGCAAAGTCTGGAACGAGGCTAACCCATGGACCAAGGTGGTACCTGACATCGTTCGGTACTTTGCTGCTGAACAAGGACACGAAGACTTGCTCTAGAATGTCATCAGTTTCATGAATTCGCATTCTCCCCAGTACCTCATGGGCTACCTCCACGTCCAGCCAAACACCTTGGCAGCGGTGCAAATGGTGGCTGGTGCTTGTTTGGGTCGCCACGTGATGTGCCGGTTGATGGCGGTAGGCAAGAGAGCAGCAAAGCAGCGTTCATGTCAGGTCTCTACAGCCATCTACGGGGCGTTGAAGACTCTGAAGCTCGGAGACCTCGCCCGGCTTGCACGAGAGGCAAGCATGCGCCTGCTGCACAAAACACCGACTTGTGCCAGGAAAGTAGGCGACTTCATCTGAAAGTAACTTAAACTTTTCATAGCATGACTGGCCAGGCTAGGAGCCTTCTGGCTCACAAGAACGGCACAACGAAGGCAGACAATTTGCACTTTGCACTGGCTCTGCCCACTCCGAGAGGGCGTATGCCTTGTAAGCAAAGCGCAGGTGGTAACTGATCCGGAGTCGCCGGACACCTCAGACCATTTGGATGGCCTTGGCAACAAGGCCCGAGGCGTTAAGTTGAACACTTCCAGGCTTGCCAAAGCCATACGTCAGGCATTCATGGTTGCCAGCTCATTGCACCCAGACATGAGCCTTTTTTTCAGTAGGAGAGATGCATGCGATGTTTGTCAGGGCAGGCGGTGGCGAAGGAGCCTGATACAGATGAGCTTCGTCGGATTGATGCGGGCCAGCCTTCGGATGTTTCAACCGTCCAGAAGTGCAAGATGACGAAAGCTTGGGTCATTGCATGTCATGGCGCTCTCACAAAGTTTTTTTCCTGCATACACGAACATGTATGAGCATCAACGCATTTGAATCGTTCTGTCTTGCGCAGTTTTCAACAGTGGTGCTGGGGCTGGTGAGTCCAGACCTTAGCGCAGCCAGAGTGAGCCTGCCTCAGCTGCTGCTCTGAGCAACAAAGAACACACTGAATTGCAGGTCTCAAATACGTTGCAGCTTCGTTTACTGAGACCATCAAGGACCAGGGTTGTCATGAGAGCTGAGTGTCTCCAGAGTTGTGCGTTTGACTTGGACAGGCATCCGCCCCCTTTTTCACGGTGATCGTTGCCTACCTCATGCTAGGCCTGGCTCGGGCTTCGCTAGGTTCGGCCTACGGGGTAAATGCTCTTCCTGGCACCTTCTCCCTGCGGCCCAAGGCCTGCTCAGGCCTGAGCCATGTACCCTGAGGCTCAAAATGGAGACCTTAGCAGCCGCAGAGTTGCTACTTCCTTTGCTAGGCACTCTGACGGCTTTTTGGCCCTCGAAAGCGATCAAAACATAGAGTAAGCAGTCCTCCCCTACCGCACTGGCGGCGATGTACAAACATTCACGAACCGTGCAAAGCCACATCCTAACCTCAACCCCAAAGCTGAAGCATCAGCAGCAGCGGCTCATGGTGCATTTTCGGTTCGGGTTCGTTAGGTCTGGTTGTTTGTGATTGACGGTCCCGTTTTGCCGGCTCCAGTTTTCTATTCTGCTTCGAACGGTTCGGTTCTGTTCGGTTGCATTCCAGATTGCCATTTCGTTTCCAGGGCTTTCCTGCTCCTTGCTTGGACCATTGCTAGCAGGCGAAAGAACGGGCGTGCCAGCAGCCGCCCCAAGAAGATCAGCAGATTGTCAGGGAAGCTGCTCCTGCATTGGCCCAGAGCAATCAGCAAATCCGCTCTGCAACATGCAGCCTCAGGTTTTAGCATCTCTGGTGCCCGTTGCGGGGGGACTTGTCTGGTGCTCAGATTCAACTGTGTGGGCATTTAAGTACGCTTTAGTTTGGATCTTGTTCTTCAATCAGGCTCAGTAATTTTTCCCCAAACAGGAAACGTTTGGGGTCCTCTCTTCAAAAGAAAACGCAGCCGCTGGATGGGCTGCACGCGGCGCAGACTTGTGGAACCGCGGTGGGCCCGCAGAAGAAAAGAATAACGCATCAACTGAATGTGTGGCACGCGGCGCAGCCTGCGGGCCGGAGGTGGGTCCGTGGTGCACCGGTGGAAAAAAAAAACACGCGGCAGCTGGATGGGTGGCACGCTGCAAGGACCTGCGGGCCTGCGGTTATGAGTTCTGTTTCGAATCGCGTCTGGACAGGTTTCAGGTGGCGCGTGGCGCGGTAGGCCCGCAGTGGGCCTGTGAAGAAAACAAGAATGCGGCGGCTGGATGGGCCCGTGGTGGGCGGTCCGGAAGCTGTTCGTGACCGTAATCCGCGTGCGCGGGGGGTCCTTCCAGAATCTAGACGGAATGAAGAACGCGGCAGCTGGATGGCCGGCAAGCGGCTGGGACCTGTGGACTGGCTGCGGCCCTTGGCGGCTAGACGGCGACTAGACGGCGACTGGATGGGCCGCACGCGGCTTGGAGCTGTGGGCTGAGGTGGCTGGATGGGCTGGGTGGGCGGAGCCAAACTTGCCAGCTCAAGGCCGGGCTCAAGATGCTTCCGTCCTTACCCTTCAAATCCAAAATCTAGCTGCAGTAGTGTCTTGGAACGCTGGTATTCTTTGCCCCGAGACCCTCCAACAAATCCAGGGATGCAAGAATCAGACCATGGTTCCATGATGTTCAGCCTGCAAAATCAAAGGTTAAAAGAAAATCAGCCGCCAATGCAGTTAAATGGGTATGTAGATCATATCGATGTTCTCTGTAGTTCTTGAAGTGTTGCTATTTTGCTTTCTTCGCATTCTAACCGGATAAACGCTGAACGCCAACTATAATTTTCAATCGTACAATTTCCGTCCATACTGTTTGCGGGCTTCGCCAGCCCTACTTACCCCAAAGAATCTTCAGTTGTGTCCAAAACCATCATGATCTCATGTTGAGGCCTGAGGCCATGAGGCGCGGGTGAAAGGTCGCGGAATTCAGAAACTTCCAGATCCTAATTCTATCAAGCATGCATCAGGAAGCAAGTTTCCAGGGGACCCCAGCAGCAATACTATTGCCACATGACTTTGACATTGCATGGCAGCATACCTTTGCATCTAGTATGTCACTCACTGTATCGCATGGTCTCTCTTGCACACTTACGTCGAACTTTTTCTAAATTCAGCATGAATTTTTGGGACTACACACATGCAATTTCGAAGCCTCGGCATCTTCGAGAAGCCCAGGTGCTGGTCTCCTCCACGGAACTTTCCTTCAACATAGCTTGGATCCTGGAAGCCTTTCCAAACTGTAGCATTGCTCAAGCAGGGCAGGTGGGTCCTGCTTCAGGGCGCGCGCGCAATTGGCAGAGACTCTTTGTCTTGTCTGGTGAGGTCGGATTCGGAGCTGCTGTGCTCACGAACATCATTGAATGTGTGCAGAATGTCTTCAGCAAGAGGCATGACTTTGCATGTTCATCTTTGGCGAAGGGATGCTTCCAGAGTCCTAACAGCAGAGCAGTTCGGGATCACAGGCAGAGAACATCATTGTCAGTAGCAAGCTCTAAGGTCTGCTGGGAGACTGGAAGTCCTGCCTAAACGCTAGGTCATCCACTCGACCTGGAAGGATAAAAGACATCACACAGCCAGTTGAACTTGTAGCCGGTGGCTTGGAGAAGTAGGTTTCCTAGACGGTCGAAATATTGCTAGGATTACGTGTCAACTGAGTATACAGGAGATGGAGGTCCTGACCACTTTTTAGCACGAATTCGTACCCCATGCTGGACGAGAGAAGACGTAAGCTTTAGAATCGCCATGAGCTGTTGTCCTGAGTCTTTCCTTTCTGTTGGATCGTGTTGGGTTCCTCTGTTCTGTTTGTGGCAGGCATTCGAACGCAATTATTTCTCTAATTCACAAGTTTCTAAGCCTTGAAGGCTATGGAAGGGAAGCTTTTTTGCTTCCTGGTCTGCTTCAGGCTGTTGGCCAACGAGTACACAGCTTCCCAGCCGCTTGGCTTGTCTTCACAGAAAGCCGTAGCGTTGTGGAGTAAACATCTCCACATGCTTTCAGGACTTTAATTGTATGGACGGCTTTTGCCATCATCATCCTTGCAGTTGCAAGCCCTTCCTTGCCTGGGCAGCAGCTCATTAAAGGTTGCAGTTCTACACCTCGCTGACTGCTCTGGTGATGCAGGCCAGGGCTTTTCAGCCTGCTGGGGCCTTCGCGTCGTGTGCTGAGTGCATTCGAGTGCTGCAGCACAGGCACCCATATTCCTCATTACGCATGAGTCTGCAGCAGCGAGCTCGGTGAGGTGTTGCAGAGATGAAGCAATACATTACCCTGCATGCTTGGAAGAGAAGCTGTTGCCGAGATATTTGAGCCGACGCGCCGAGGCATCCCATTCCCATCATCATGAGATAGCTCATGTCCACTTGGATGGGAACAGGACGCTTGTCCCGACCTCATCATAATTTGTGCTCGGTTTAGCTGCTCTCGAACCGAATTCCCTAGAAACCCGCGGCCGCAGGCTGCGCTCTCTGCGTCAAGGGAGGAGATCGTTCAGGAGTCATGCGCTAAGCTCACCTGCACGATGAAATATGGAACGTTCTCATTCGCCACGGCTTTCTTGAATTGCGTGATGTATGATCGCGGGTCAGTCAAACGCAAGTAACGCGAGATCGTGCTGGGCTGAGGGTAAGACATCGCATAATAGCCTTCTTGGTCGTGTTGACTGTCGTGTAGTTTGCCTTGGGGTTTAGTGGGCAAGGCCAAGGCACACACGTAGCCCTCGCCTGTCCCCTGCTTTCAGTTCCCCACTGTACTTGCCTTGACAGGTCCAGCTGTAGGCCTTTCTTGTGTCATAAGTGTCATTGGTGTGACAGCTTGGTTGCTCGATGTCAAGAAGGCCCACAAGCGTGAGAAAATGGCTTCAGAGCAGGGCTTCTCAGTCTTCACAGCTGTTGATCCCGAAGGCCCCCGCATTGGCTTGTTTACCTCACATGCCACGTTGGAGGAGCGTGGAGTGCTTATTGGTGGCCGCGTTGCTGCTAGCTTTGTGCGCTTAGGCCATGTGCTGCTGCATAGTTCCCACTTTTTCTGCATGTACGTGGCTTAAGAGCTTTCTTTGTTTCCGGCGGGCTCGGCGCCGCTGACGGCTTGTATAGAAGTGTTGCTTGCGTGTGCTCTGGGGATCCCGCTGTCATGAAGGAAGTTGACCTTGGGCACCAGGCTTGAGTGGATTGGGTGGCTGCTGCAGCTAGACGGTCGACCGTGTGCTACGCTCCCTGAAGACAAGGTCTTGCGATTGGATGCAGAATTGTGAACCATCATTCAGCGCAGATGGATACGAAGGCATGATTTGAAGGCACTGGTTGGGCTGCTATTTTGGTATACCTGTGGCCAACGTTGGCTGAAGCCCTGGATGGCGGTGCGGTTTCATATGTTGCTGAAGCCGGCGCTTCATTTTTCCCATCTGGATAGTGAGCAGCTGCGCGAAGTGCAGCAGTTGCTGGATGTGAACTTGCGTGTGGTCAAGAGAGCCGGGCTGTCAGATGTGCAGGCTGGGTGGCGCCTGGCGGAATGCAGTGGCAAAGTAACTTCTTACGTGTCTGATCTTGTATTATAGTGTGTGTCGCTCAAAGCACTGTCGGGTGTGGACAAAGTTCCTTGATAGTTGTTTTCGCAAGTGTGCCTGTCCAAAGACGAGGCCGGTGTGGCTGCGTTCTTTCAGAAGTTGGTCCTCGGCCGAGCTCCGGTGCACTTGGTGGAGATACCGGCAACGCAGTGCACAGCAGCGGCAGATGCATATGCTAGCATTTGCCAGCGAGCGGTATGCAGGAATTGGAGGCTGGTGGCTTCTTTACGGGTCACCAATTTCAGCTTCATCAATCTTCTGCTTCTCCATCCCCTTGACGGCTGCTTCCCTGCCGATGTAGTTCTTGCGCGACCATGCTGGGTTGCCAGAAGTGATAAGCGCCTTAGAAGCGTTGGCGGAACTGGTTCTCTTGGTGCTGCAGCGTCACGAGGCAGGGCCAGGATTCCAGCCTGCAAATGTAGGCTCCCTGGCAGTGCGACAGCGGTGCCACAACCTGGGCGTCGTTGGTGCATGAAGCAGCCGCTAGCCTCCCCCCTGTTCTGCAGTGCAGCCAAAACACCTGCAGGGATTACTGAGGGTTGTGTAGTTTGTTTTGGGGTTTGGTGGGCAATAGCTCTCGCCTGTCCCCTGCTTTTAGTTCCCCATTGTGTTATCCTTGACAGGTCCAGCTGTAAGCCTTTGTGTGTCATAGGTGTCATTGGTGTGACAAGTGTTCGATCATTTTTGCCCTCCCGCCCGTCCTCGACTTCGAGATGGTGGATTAGTTCACGGACTGTCCATGAACAAGCTGCAACAGGCAGCACCGGATTGAAGCGCCCACGCGGGGCACCTGCTGCCTGGATTGTGCAAACAATCTGTGCAGCAGTTGTGGATCGCGTGGATTAGTTCGGATGCATGGTTGGAAGCGGCTTCGACTTCTTCGAATTGGGATTCAGCTCAGCGGCCTGGTTGGAACAGGGCTTGTATGCCCTGTGTGTGGTGGTGCCCAACGGCACGGGGGGTTTTCGTGACTTGGGGAGGCACCTGACCTGGCTTTCCCGCCCGTTCTGCAGTGCAGCCAAAACACCTGCAGGGACTACTGAGGGTTTTCAACTTTCTCATTCATGGCAAGAAATTGAAAGCTTTGCCCATCCCACTTGCAGACTTAACAAAACAATTTTTCTCAGGTCAGGTGCCTTCCTTGTCTTGAATTTTCAGTGCACTTGTCAGTAGCTCCTAGTCCTAGTGCCAGGTGTTCGAACTGGTAGCCGTTTGCTTTTGGCGCGCACCGTTGAATTTGAGGGCTTACCAAACAGTGTAAGCTCGACAATCCTAGGCATGTTGTTTTAGAAGGTTCAACAATGTATGACAAGCACAATATGTACAGTGCTAATTTGTTTGTCAACGGCTGCAAACGCTAGCACCTCTACCACGTGTCCAGCCCTGTCAAATTGCCACGGACGTGCTTGGGTTTGGGGCTGGAGAGTGTGGAGCTACATCGCCAAGTCAATTTTCTCGAAAATAGCGCAGAACCACAAGAGGGCCAGAGAGAGGGGTTTCTCAGGTGGGTGCTTTTGGTACCTTGGAGAAGAAGACGACCAGGTACTGGTCTGTTCTAGACGCCTTTCGGTCGGAGTCAGACCCTGGATCCAACGCTGAACTCCATTGGTCCTTCTGATCACTTCACGTTTGACGCAAAACGCTTGCTAAGAAACTGGATGGACTCCCTGCCGCAACTCCTGCCTGGTTGGAAACTATTTGCAACATCTGCAACCACTGATCATGTTGAGCGTCCCTAGACCTCCTTCAGATGCTGTCAACCTGTCAGGGACAGAAACCTGCTGTTTCTCCTGTGGATCGATGGAGTGCTGCATGGGCCTCTAAAGTGTAAAGAATGAGCGCAGATGTAACAACATGCATGGTGTGAAGTGTCATCGTGTGATGTGCGCCCTCTGCCTGATGATTCAGGTATCACGTGCAGTCAGTCATCGCTTATGTGGTAATGTCAGCAGCTTGGTCTTGAGTTCGCGATGGATTTCATACCTTACTGGCACGTGCTTCCTGACCGGCCGAGCACGTCACTGGAGTGAAAAGTGTGTTCATGGGTGTAAGGCCGCACGAGCTGGGAGGGTTGTGGGGGTTTGGTGGTCAGGCTAAAGGGTGTTGACTTTTCGCAGATGCTGGAACAGATAGCCTGGGCTGTGTATACTTTCTCTCAAAACCTACCGGCCAAAAAGTATTTTCCAATGTGAGAGATACTGCGGGCCGCAGCCCCCCATACATGTTGCGCGAGGTCTTACCTGTCCCCAGTCACTGTTTCAGCCTGGACCTTAAACATTTGCAACATCCATTTGAAGCAAAAAGGCTAGCCGCTGCCTTCTAGGAGATCGTGCTGTCGAGTTTTGAATGTGCGCCCCGGTCCCCAGGTCGTGAACACGCTGAAGCGTGCTTTGATCATTTGCATCAGTGTGCAGGCGTGATAGTCTTCGAATCTAAGTTGATGACTACTCAGCTGCCATTGGCGTTTGTTGTTTGGACTGGCATTGGCAGGTCTTTGGAAATCAAGTCACTCCGCTCACATGGCTTGGTTCTGCCCCAAGTCAATAGGCGTTGCAGTTGCTTTATTAGGGTCATCTTGGGGTTATATTGGGGTAATGGAAACGAAAATAGAAACTACTATAGTATATTGGGGTTATATAGGGATAATGGAAAATAAGATGGAAGCTGCTATATTGAGGCTTAGCTCGAAGCTCGACGTGAACTTAGGAACATTGATCTGTCTGTGCGGCGTGCTTTGCTACAACTGGGCAAAGTACCTGGGCTGCTTCATTCAGCCTTTGCTATACATGTTCTACACTTGTAGCATAATTGGTACAAGCAGAATCACGTAGATTCACTAGATCAGGGGAACCCCTATCTACTTATTTCCAAGATAAATCGGCTGACAGTTTCAGCACCGACAGTTTATCACCAAAGGCTAACGCCCAGCAAGTAAGTAGTGAAAAGGCCTGCATGATTAGCATAAGGTTTTGGGGTACTTTAAATACCAAAAATTTCGAATAGTATTAGGATGGCACATGGTTTCTACATAAAGTTACATCTTTTTGTTCTGGACCATGACGCTCGTTGCTTGGTTGAAGCTGCATGTGACCTGCGGGTACGTGAACCTTACGTGGAAGGTTGCTTGCCCAACAATTGTTGTGTACGGCAGCTGCTGACAGGCAGGAACCCGGAATCCAGTATGTCTTTGGTACCCTGGAAAAAGGAAACACCCGCGCAAGCAAAGACAGTTTTTTCGAAGATGACATGAAAACCACGAAACAGAACCTTGACCATACCGGCAGAAGTAAGTATAGTGATAACGTGATCGATGCTGCTGGCACCAGACGCCTGTAACATCATTTGGCGGACGTCAAGGGGTAGAAACCCTA